CTGCTAGATGGGAGTGGGGTGTCTGTAGGTCTAATGGCCTTCCTATGTGGTAGTGAGAAGAGAGAAATTTACAAATGAAAGAAGAAGAGAAGGAGAAAAAAAAAGTGTACCTGACTGACAGAGGGGTTTCTGGCTTGGGGGTTCTGGGATTGGAGTTTCAAGGGGTAGTTCTCCCTCGCAGTTCCTGGCCCAGGGGTCGAAAGAGCCAGAATGTAAATGTTAAATATATTTTTCTCTTATAAGAAACCATCCCAAGAGGTAAAAGTGGAAATATTTTTGTACATATAGTGACAATTTTTATTAAAAATAAATTGTCATTGAAAAAAATCACTAGTCTCATACTGTGGTAGGTAAATTTGCAACTTCTGCTGTCCCTTTCCTATTTATATTATGTTTCACAGCACAGTGGATTGCCGTGTAATTAAAATACATCTGTCCTTTAAAAGATGACTTTCTAAGTGGGGGTACTGAGGAGTAGTGACAGCAAGATGGCAGACTAAAAGGTCTCAGATGGCACCTACATGAGGATGTTTACCCCACCTTCCACCCTGAGCCTCAGCCAGACAAAAAAATGGGCACCGCTGGGTACCTGGCATATACAAGGATATGCTGGCACTCAAACCCTCACCCTCTAATGTGGGACCAGCATTACAGTAGGGCATGCATTACCACTGTACCACTGTCTGGTCTTGGGGTCTCACAATAAAAAGTTATGGTTCTTGGGGTCAGCAGGTGGTGTGGTGAAGGCACTGAACTCCCACATGGTTAACCAGTTCAAGTCCCCAAACTGGCAGCTGAATATCACACCAGGCATGTATGCATGTATGCCAAAAGTCCCAGGAGGAAAATGGAGGAGAAGGGATTGCAGCATGCCCATCCCTCCTCGGGAGCAGTGAGTCCTCACCTTCCCTCTCACTGTCTCTGTCTCTCTGGTGAGCATATGAGCCCACTGACAAAAACTTTGAAAAAGGGGACCAGCAGGAGCACAGTGTTTGGGGTACTGTTCTCCCACATGGTCGACAACAGTTTGAGTCCCGGATCTGGAGACTTGCATTCTCTCTGGCCAACATATGCACTCCATAGCAAAAAAACTAAAAAACAAAGCAAATAACTTCACCAAACTCAGGGCACCAAGATTTACAACTATGTTATTTTCTAGGAATTTTTTTTCATTTAAATTTATTTATTTACATTCATTCACTACATATCATTACAGCAAACAAAATGAGATTTCCCATTGAGAATACACTGTATATTGGCTCAATCAAGCACATCAACATACATGTTATCGTCAACAAATAATTTTTCATTTCTTGTTTCCTGTATATTTTGCTTTTTTTTTTTTTTTTTTGCCATCTTTGATTCCCTGTCTCTCACCCTCTGCCGTGTTCCCCCCTTCTCCCACACTCTCTGGTATCCATGGTTGCTTTCTATGCCTTGTCCCCCCATTTTATATGTTCATTCTAGGAATTTTACGACTTCATTTTATACACATATGCTGGGTTACAGCAACAGGCAGTGCTAGTTATTGAAACTTACTGACCTACTTCACTAACCTACTTCACTAAAGCTTCATCATCTTCCAAGACATCCCACTCCCTCGCCTTCCTTCTGAAAAAAAAAAAAAAAATTCCTCGTCTCCTTTTCCTAGTTAATAACTCATGTTCCTCTAAATGGCGCTCATTAAAAGTGCACTCAGTGTGTCCTCATGTACTGGAGCCTCTCACCCCGAAAGTCAGTCCTGTCTTCGGGCCACTGTTTCCTTCATCAGGCTCACCATTGCCATTGCAAACTGATGTCCTGAGATACTTTGGGTATACGGTTAGTACCAGAATGTGTCGGGTCCCTTGTACCTGCGTCAAACCAATGTAATTTTTAAAGTTTTATGTATTATTATTATTATCCTTATTTTAAATTTGCTATAGGGCATGGGCACTTACCAGAGAGCGATAGAGAAAAAGAGGAAAAGTGAGAAAGCAAGCCACCAGGTCCAGGACTTGAATCATAGCAGGCCATGTGGGAGTCCAGCGCCTTAACCACCACATCACCTGCTGGCCCCACTACATGGAACTTTTTAAAATTTCTTTCTTCCTTGAGGGAGTCTCATCAGTAAGGGATGATCCCCTCTGATCACCGCCCCCCCCCAAAGTCTTTCAGACAGCCAGGATGACAGGCACGTCCATGGGCACTCCCGATGCGTTCAGGTCCACTGTGGATCTGAACCCAGGGCCTCCAAGGGTCCCGGCGTTGTGCCAGCACACTGTGGCTGGGCCACACCTAGGTGTCCTTTACTCTGTGTTTGCCATAAAGCCTCCATAGCCTTCCTGTCTCAGGGCCAGGGGAGTTTCCCTAAGGAACATGTACCCACCCTATGATGCCTTCTGCTCACCACAAACCCATTGTGTTCCCCGTTCTGTTCAACAGTTTCCTGTCTGCAAAAACAAGCAGCTCTTCAGATGGCACCGAAGTCATTTCCAGGTGAAAAGAGGCACCCGCTTATATAGGCCACGGCTGCCTCCGTGCACTCCCTCTGCAGCACGCTCCTGAATAAATGATTTCCGTTTCGTTGAAGTACTCGTATGGGTACTGCATTTCTTATTAGAGTGTTCCTGTCACGTTATCCAAGACACGATGGCATTTCATGTTTCAGAGGTTTTTTTATGTCATGGTCATAGGGGCAGTCTCAGTTAATGCCCCAGAGCAAGCTAGCAAGTGCATCTCAGATTGTGCCATTCAGGTTGCTCCCACTGGACCTTTCGGGCCCGCAGTACCAGCAGCTGCACCTTGGTGGCACTCACGGCTTTTGCCATAAACTCGGGGCTGGGGCTGGGTAACTGGCACTCTTCCCATATCATGTTGGAATATGAATGCTAAGAGCCCAAAGGTACTGAAGAGACTACTTCTTTTTCTTTTTTTCTTTTTCTTTTTTTGCAATTTAAACATGACCTGCCTTTGTCTAGGCCCTATCCCCACAGAAGGTCATTTATAGATGTATTTATGGATAGGAACTAGCAATTTTCCCAGATGTGAAATATGTATCCTCCAGAATTCCAACACAGCCACCAAAGGCTTTAGTCCTAGGGGTAAGTAAGGAAAGAAGTTTATTTTTAGCTGCCCATGGAATGCTGTAAGTGGCTCTTGCTCAGAACATTTCTAAGAATTTCACCATTTCCGGAGACCTTGGCTGGATTTGTCAGCCTTTTGGTCATGTGTCACCCTTGCATTTAGCCGCCCTACCTCGCCTGTGCTCCAGTTTCTGGCACCGTACCGGCAGTTCATTATCACACTCAGGCCTGCACACACAGTTCCACCATGTCTGAGTTAGAAACAGAGTTTTACTGGGTTCTGTAGCAATGGGTCCCACCCCCCGCACCCACACTCTACCTCCTTTCCCGGTAGGTGACCTATTCTGGCTGCCCAGCACTGCTGCCCCCTTGCTGTCTCCATCTGTTTCCCACCGGGCTGGCCTTTCCACACACGCAGGGACACCATTCAGCATCGAAACAAGAGCAGCTGTGGCTGTTGTCTGAGGAGTGTGACTTCTGGCCAGGTCGATGTAACCTGGATTCAGAGCCCACAGCTCTGAGTTTCTATTAGTGGAGACGTTGCTACAGTAAGCCAAGCCTTACACCTGCAATGAAGACTTGTACTCTGTCTGGGGACTTTGGGGCAAAGCCTTAAATGATTTTGTCAGTTCCATCAGTTGATGAGTTGCCTGGTGATGGATAAGCCCTGGAGGCAGTGGGTTGGTGAACGGTCCGGGGTATTCCAAGGATGGCCTGGGAGAAAAGGGCCTGTCTGGCCTCACCTAGCACCCTGTTTGGCTGAGGACCCCATTTCCCAGATTCAGGTGTATCTCCTGCCTTAGCACCTGACAGGCTTTAACACCGGAGAGAGATGAACCTTCTCCATTCCTTCTAGGCCAAAGTCCTCTGTAGGACCCTGTATGGGAATGTGTTCTGTCCTCTCTTCACGCCTGGAAGAGAAGAAATAGGAAAAGGAGAGACGGAAAAGAAAGGAGAGAAAACAGAATGCTTGGAGGTGCTAAGAGAAGGGACAGCAGGAGCGAGGAACTGGGAAAGGGGGAGAGGAAGCTAATGGGGGTGCCATGGGGCACAAGAGGAGGGAAGAAAACAGAAGGGATGGAAGTGGTGAGAAGGAAGATGAGAGGGTGGGCCCCCAATCCAACCAACTCCACCTTCTGAGTTTCACAATAAAAATGGAGATTTTGGGAACCAGCAGTTAGCGTAATGGCTATGTTGCTGGACTCCCACGTAGACGACTGTGGTTTGCTTCCCGGACCCGGTGGGCCGGGGTGGATGAATGCCCAAGATCCCGAGAGGAGAAGGGAAGAGAAGGGGTTGCAGCGTGGCCATCCCCTCTGGGGGGTGATTTCTCGCTTTCTGTCTCTCTCTGTCTGGCGAGCGCAGGCGCCCTATAGTAAAAAAACCTCTCAAAAAAAAATGGAGATTTTAATAGTCTCTCTTCCTCTTAGGCTGGCACGTGGTGTGGTGGTTAAAGACGCTGGATTCCCACATGGCCAACTGCAGCTCAAGTCCTGCACCTGGAGGCTTGCTTTCCCACTTTCCCTCTCCCTCTCTGCCTCTCTCTGGTCAAATTTTTAAAAATAATAAGTGGAATTGCATGAACAATGAACAAATGGAATTAAATAAATAATTCATATATATGTGTGTGTGTGTATGCATATATACATACATACATATAACCCTCCTCCCAAGTCCGAGCCATGAACCACGGCCGGGCCCCG